CCGGCATTAGTCACCTGGCGCTTTCGTTTACTAAGTACGGTTACTTAGAAAGCCCGTTGGTTCTTGGAATTTATCTCGTCGGGTAGTAAATTTTCCTGGCTTTCCGAATATCTATGTTAGGACCTTCGACTCCTTCCGGAACACTGCCGGAAAAATCAAAAACCACGCGCGCGTATACGTTTCGCGTCATACCGGCATTAGTCACCTGGCGCTTTCGTTTACTAAGTACGGTTACTTAGAAAGCCCGGTGGTTCTTGGAATTTATCTCGTCGGGTAGTAAATTTTCCTGGCTTTCCGAATATCTATGTTAGGTCCTTCGACTCCTTCCGGAACACGGCCGGAAAAATCAAAAACCACGCGCGCGTATACGTTTCGCGTCATACCGGCATTAGTCACCTGGCGCTTTCGTTTACTAAGTACGGTTACTTAGAAAGCCCGGTGGTTCTTGGAATTTATCTCGTCGGATAGTAAATTTTCCTGGCTTTCCGAATATCTATGTTAGGACCTTCGACTCCTTCCGGAACACTGCCGGAAAAATCAAAAACCACGCGCGCGTATACGTTTCGCGTCATACCGGCATTAGTCACCTGGCGCTTTCGTTTACTAAGTACGGTTACTTAGAAAGCCCGGTGGTTCTTGGAATTTATCTCGTCGGGTAGTAAATTTTCCTGGCTTTCCGTATATCTATGTTAAGTCCTTCGACTCCTTCCGGAACACTGCCGGAAAAATCAAAAACCACGCGCGCGTATACGTTTCGCGTCATACCGGCATTAGTCACCTGGCGCTTTCGTTTACTAAGTACGGTTACTTAGAAAGCCCGGTGGTTCTTGGAATTTATCTCGTCGGGTAGTAAATTTTCCTGGCTTTCCGAATATCTATGTTAAGTCCTTCGACTCCTTCCGGAACACTGCCGGAAAAATCAAAAACCACGCGCGCGTATACTTTTCGCGTCATACCGGCATTAGTCACCTGGCGCTTTCGTTTACTAAGTACGGTTGCTTAGAAAGCCCGGTGGTTCTTGGAATTTATCTCGTCGGGTAGTAAATTTTCCTGGCTTTCCGAATATCTATGTTAAGTCCTTCGACTCCTTCCGGAACACTGCCGGAAAAATCAAAAACCACGCGCGCGTATACGTTTCGCGTCATACCGGCATTAGTCACCTGGCGCTTTCGTTTACTAAATACGGTTACTTAGAAAGCCCGGTGGTTCTTGGAATTTATCTCGTCGGGTAGTAAATTTTCCTGGCTTTCCGAATATCTATGTTAAGTCTTTCGACTCCTTCCGGAACACTTCGGGAAAAATCAAAAACCCCGCGCGCCTTTACGTTACGCGTCATACCGGCATTAGTCCCCTGACGCTCGTATACGTTTCGTGTCATACCGGCATTGTTCACCAGACGCGTGTATACGTTTCACGTCATACCGGCATTAGTCACCTGGCGCTTTCGTTTACTAAGTACGGTTACTTAGAAAGCCCAGTGGTTCTTGGAATTTATCTCGTCGGATAGTAAATTTTCCTGGCTTTCCGAATATCTATGTTAGGTCCTTCGACTCCTTCCGGAACATGGCCGGAAAAATCAAAAACCACGCGCGCGTATACGTTTCGCGTCATACCGGCATTAGTCACCTGGCGCTTTCGTTTACTAAGTACGGTTACTTAGAAAGCCCGGTGGTTCTTGGAATTTATCTCGTCGGATAGTAAATTTTCCTGGCTTTCCGAATATCTATGTTAGGACCTTCGACTCCTTCCGGAACACTGCCGGAAAAATCAAAAACCACGCGCGCGTATACGTTTCGCGTCATACCGGCATTAGTCACCTGGCGCTTTCGTTTACTATGTACGGTTACTTAGAAAGCCCGGTGGTTCTTGGAATTTATCTCGTCGGGTAGTAAATTTTCCTGGCTTTCCGTATATCTATGTTAAGTCCTTCGACTCCTTCCGGAACACTGCCGGAAAAATCAAAAACCACGCGCGCGTATACGTTTCGCGTCATACCGGCATTAGTCACCTGGCGCTTTCGTTTACTAAGTACGGTTACTTAGAAAGCCCGGTGGTTCTTGGAATTTATCTCGTCGGGTAGTAAATTTTCCTGGCTTTCCGAATATCTATGTTAGGACCTTCGACTCTTTCCGGAACACTGCCGGAAAAATCAAAAACCACGCGCGCGTATACGTTTCGCGTCCTACCGGCATTGTTCACCAGACGCGCGTATACGTTTCACGTCATACCGGCATTAGTCACCTGGCACTTTCGTGCACTAAGTACGGTTACTTAAAAAGCCAGGGAGCTCTTGAAATTTATCTCGTCGGATAGTAAATTTTCCTGGCTTTCCGAATATCTATGTTAGGTCCTTCGACTCCTTCTGGAACACTGCCGGAAAAATAAAAAAAAATCAAATACATAGAGTTTTGCCTATTTTTCGTTTGCATAGACACTACCATTCAGTATGTGGATAGATAAACACAATATTACATAATTAATTTAAATAAAAACAATTAACATAACGTAAACTTACCTGTTTCCGTAGAATGTGATCTCTAACAAATGACATCGTTAAATAGTTTACACTTTTAATTAGTTAATGTAAACTGCAAAAGTACAATGTTCATTTGTTAGAACATGTCTTCGAAATTAGGGCAATTTATAACCTAACTTTAAATTATTATTGATTTGTATAATTCGGTATAGTTATGGTTTCGGTATAATTATCGTGGTAATGACACCAATAGAATTTATTATTTATTTATATACTTTTAAAATAAATAGTTATTAAATGTCATAGGGCGACATCTACTTTATAGTTTCGATACAATAGAAGGCACCCTTGAAATTTAAAGAATGCAACACAACGTGCAAGGTTTCTTATCACTAGCCGCCCGAAAAAAATAGTCACCTAGCTTTGGTCACCCAACTTCACACACGTTCAAAATCCACAAAATTGAAAATACAAACATTGAGTAGATACAAATTCAATAGATACAAATAAAGCTAATATCACATTTTAGATAACCGTGATCTAAATAGTTTTTAACGTCTTTGGGACAATGTCTACGTTATCAAACATAAACAAACATTTTTAAAATTATCATTATTTCATATTTGCTGGTGGAAATCATTCACAAATAAAAAATAATATAATGTAAAATACTGAAGTCAGAATTCAAAAATAGTCTGTACTTGTTGTGATTATTACAGTTTGTTTACCGACTTACTATTAAAGTAATATTTAATTCATCTCGTCACTCGTAAGTATTTTTCTCAAGTTTATCGTTTTGCTTAAATATAGGCATGTGAATAAATAATTATTATGTTATGGTCTATGAGTTCATAAATTGTACATCATATTTTTATGTATATCACTGGCCATTTTGAAAATGTCTTAATTTTTCCTAAAATGTGTAGCCCCTTTGAGACAAAACACAGACTGTTTTTTCCTAATATGATCTACTAATTTTATTCTTTTAACACTTGGTAGTGTGCGATTTGAAAATAATCATGTAATACCCACCTAATTATTTTATAATATTTAGGTATTAATGTATTATAATACCTACCTATTTTTATTTTTATTTATTTGAACACTTAAAAATATTCTTTGTAGGTTTAACTGCTTTGAGTGCAACAAGTAAACAAACAACTTTAGTATGTAAATTTAATTAGTTTATAAAAGGCATATTCACCTTTGTCTATCCAGTAAGGTTTTCAATCAGCTAACTTTATAAAGAAATAAAAACAATTATTCCTATTAGCCAACAATATTAATTTTATTCTCATAGTCTAGGATATTAAAGGAATGTAATTAAAATTTTATAGTAAATTTTAATAGTTAAGTTTTATTTATAATATGCAAATAGTTCAACTGCCTATATTTTAACAGAAATTTGTGATCCTTGGTTTTTGTACTCAAATTTTTATATTACTAAAGTTAGCTTAAATTATATAATATGTGGGAAACATAATATGTAACTATACAGAACATCGAATATTAACTAACACAGTTTGTACATAGACACATAGTACATTTTTTGTTTCAGTTAAAAAAGTAATTTCTTAATTTCCTGATTTTGATATATCTATTAATTATTACAATCATAATAATAATTATTTTTTAATTTAAATACACACCTATTTTCATTATACTAAATGTAATATTAATACAAGTTGGGACTTGAGAGCAAAAAGTGAAGAAAAAGAAAACTATATCTTTTGATCTTTATGATCTAAACATTTTAAACAATGAAGTATTATGTGATTTATTAAGTACATAATAAAAAGCAATACCATATATGAAGATAAGGGTTGCACATGGGGTCCTCCCTCAACCAAAATGTCTTCAACATTTATTATAATTTTAATAATTTAAGTTTTTGTCAAATTTTTAACCAAATATCATAACTTATGTTATATTAATATAATATGCATTTACATATTTTTGTACCCCCTCCCCCAAAAAAAACATCTGGATATGGCCTTGATAAAAAGTTATTATTAAGAGGACGCTACACCCCCCGCATGTGTTGTTTCTGTCTTAGAAATGTAAAACAGCAAAAACTGTTTTACACGTGAAAGAAAATCGAGAAAGCTACATTCATAACTAAAAATCAAAACTTTCACCACCAAAAGGAGAATTTTGGCTGTGAAACATACTTTTTATTTTTTTCGATATCAAAACTACAAAAATATAATGGATGTTGAAAGAATACAAGAACTATTTTCATATTAGTGATATCAAAAAAATATAAACAATACTTCACAGATAATGTTTGCAGCAATATTATATATACATTTTGAGTCTTAACTACAGCCTGAGTGGTTCTATCCCACGAAAAACAGTTTTTTCTATGTCATTTGTAAGACTGAGACAACACATGCGGGTATAGCGTCCCCTTAAAAGTAAAACATAGTTTGTATATTTAATATTAGGTACCCTATCTTTGAAATAATTTATAATATTTTATTTATTATAGACAACAGTCAAGAGTCAACTAGTGAAATAAATCATGGTTAAAAAAAGGAAAAGTGTACTAAAATCTTCAACACAGGTTGTTGATTCACCAATGAAAGAACCAAGAATTATAAGTAATTATAAAAATTATATTTCAGTTATTAAATTATATTTAATATAACCTATTTCTATTTTAGGAGGTAATCATTTAGAAAAGGCTCGCAACAGTTTGAATGAAGCTCTTGATGTTATTGCAAAGAAGGAGCAAAACAAAGCCGATGATGTGACCGATAATGATGTATTAGTTGTGTGAGTATACATAAACAGTTTCAACACTAAGTGGCTACACTAGTGTCTGCAACTGGATGAAAAACAGTCGCCATCTGAAGTTATTCTTATATAAGAGAATTATAAAATAACAGTTCCCTTGTATTTTTAGAGAAGAAAATGATACAAATAAGCGAGTAAAGATATATGAGTCCAAACAAGAAGTTAAAGATTCGTTGGTATTAAAATTACGAGATCGCAGCATTGATTTAGCTTCTTTTACCAATAATTCAGCAATGTACTCTATATGCCGGGCTTGGATAAAAAATGACCCATTATCAGCAAGGTTAAAACAAATGTGCTTCATTTTCAAAGTTAGAATGTTAATAACTATTTTTTTAAACTTTAGACAAGTAAAAAGTAAGAAATCTGAACATTTAGAACGTTCGCTTAAAATTGATAATGAATCATCTACAATCGAAGATTACGTTTATAAATTGCCACCCCCTAAAAGCAGACCCGAAGATGAGACTGATGCTATTTACAGAATACCTATAAATTTACCAAAGGATGTAGTAACAAAAATGGATATTAAAAATGTAAGTTAATCTATTATAATTTATATTTGCCTTTTTTTTTGTTATTAAATTATATTTGTTGATAGGTATTGACTTATGATATTATCTATAAACAAGTTATAGAAAAAACTTGAATCCCATAATATATATTTTTAAATTATTTGTATTAGGTACCAAAGGTTAATGAAATATACTTATATTTTTAAACTTTTTAAAATATGTATTTATCTAAACATACAGATGTTTAAATTAAACAATTTATTTTATAGAATATTAAAGAAGTTCCTACTGTTAGTGAATTACTTAATGAGCACAGGAAAAGATGGGTTTGTATACGACAGCAGTGGATTAAATTCAGTAATGAAAATGAATCCCGTTATGCTATGTCAAAAAGCATTTTGAATTCAATGTTAAACAAGTAATTTATATATTTTATTATTTGTTTTTAATCATTAATATGTCTGTAGCTTGGTACATTTAATATTACATTTTGAGGAATTTGAGATTATTTGACCAATGCCATTAGCATTTGATTAATATGTTACTTGTGTTAAAACAGCCAATGTCTGATTCAACTTTCAGTACACACACCCACATGCTTTGCCTCCATCTTACAAATGCACAAAATAGCAAATTGTGTGTTCTGAATAATCTATTGAACTCTGTTATGCTTAATGTTAGAGTGAATTATTGACCTATTATAAAATATTAAATTAAGAATATTATCTAGTGGATCTCAAAGGTTTTTTTTATATATATTTTATAACTTGGAAATGCAAATATTTGGTTTAATAGAAAATATAAAAGTTTGGTATGGTTCGGTTCGAAAAATAATTTCAAGTTCAGTTTGATTTAAAAAATCAGGGTTTGACCCATCACTAATATTTATGATCCTTCAAGAAGGTGAAAATAAAATTAACACATTCCCTGGTTTCTCAAAATATAAATTTTTCATTAAATAAAGAATGGAAAACAAATTTAGTCATCAAATTCTAAAACTAACTTAAACCCATAATTTTTATTGGGAACAAGCTGTTTATTTAGAACAGCTGTTAGGAGCCTAATGAGGGGAGTGATTAGAGAAGAAAGTTCTGATATACATTTAGTTAGTGGCTTATCAATTGCCTGGATATTGGGTAGTGGTATATTTTTGGAATTAGTAACAGAGGCATATGAAGTTTTGGGTGGGAGAGAGGGAGTTTGGAGATGAAGAGAAAAGAGATTCAGATTCTGTGGTTTTGTGTCATTTGAGAAGAGCTTTGAAAATTTGACATCCTTTGTAATTGGAAGTGTGATTGCCCATGCATAGGGCGCACTTGGCTGGACTGGTTTTGGTGCAAACTTCGTTGTGGTGGTCACCCCCACATTTGACACACCGTGAAGGATGGTGACAATAGTTTGCGGTGTGACCGAGTTCTGGCCTTTTCGGCACTGAGGTGGACCACTCTTGGTCCTATATGGTAATTTGACTTTTATAATACATGTGTGCAAAATAGAAGACAAGTTTAAGATTTCTTTATTGTTAGTGATGGGATTTAACTCCACAAGAAACAGTGGGCATGGATGGCCATTTTTTTATGACGTTTGTGACTTGCCTGGTGGAGTGACCTAACTCTGGGAGTGCATCAGATATATCGGATATGAGTGTAGTGTGGTGCAAGTTTCTGATAATGACCTTGTAAGGTCAATATGGTGGAGGCATGAAAGTATGAAAAAAAGGCACTTGTGTCCATTAGATGACTAACGATTAGGTAAAACATAGAACGTCCATGCGGTCGAATAATCAAAAAGGAAGACGTGGACTTACAAGAAAAACCGTTTAGGCCGGTGATTTGTATTAACGCACTTTTGAATGCGGAGTAGTTGATGATGTTTTGAACGTATATTGGCGGAGCCCTGATGTTGTCCTGTTGATGATGAGGTATAGACTTGATGTTTATAATAAAAGTATCACTAGAGGTGTCGAGTTGGATTTCATTGTCCTCTTCGTTAGCTAGGACAGCGAATTTATTTGGCGAAACAAATGACTTAGATTTTTTTTCCCCGTTTGGATAGGTGAATTTGGAGAAGATGGCAGCGACCATTTGGATTTAGTAATTTTCGGAGAGGTGGTGCTATTCATATTAAAATGAAAATGTGTCCAACGGAGTAAAACCTGTGAACTGTTAACTGTTTACATACTAAAACACGATAACAGAGCGAACTACCGTACATACGTGCGGCCACGTTGCAAGTCAACAACAAATTGTTAATTTTTGTTTACTTATTTTTAAATTTAATTTCTTAACAATGTTCATTTTTGACATTGGATCTTCTTGTACCAAGCCACAGGTGTAAATAATAAAATAATTATGAAATATCTTGAAATAATGATATCTAAAAGCCAAAAGGGTATTTTATTATTGACCATTTTTAATATTTACTATTTATGATGAATTAGAACTGAATTACATTGTTTAAAATCAATGCATGTAAAAATTGTATTTCTATTTTTGTATTCAATTTTAACTGTATATATTTATGTTACAGAGATAATAATGTTTAGTACATTCAATATACCAGTCTACAAGAATATAATATTTTTATCAATTTTTCTTTTTAGTTAAGTATTACATAATGTATTATACAATTATACAACAAAATTAATTTTATTGCATTAAAGATTATATATTGGAAATTTAACTATATTTATTTACTTCATACATTTAGATTTTGAGTATTGTCAAGTAACAATATTATTTTAGTATAGTTCTAAACACTTTTAATATTGTAACATATTGAGAAATTATTATTTATCAACCACAATATTGCAGATGTAAAAAATGACTATAATAAACAATTTTGTTATACAATGCGCATATATTATTTCAAACATAAACTTAAGCAATAAAATACATACATAATAACTATATTTACTACACTTATGGTATTCCTTTGTAAATGGTTTGTATTTTTACATAAATAACAGTTAATGTATAAGTTGATTATAATATCATATCCTAGTATTTTCCCTTTGTACACAATGATATCGTGATTTAAATAGTCTATTGTAGTAGGTAGGTATAAGTATTTATATACTATTATTTTAATATGACATTAATTTGTGTTTTATAATATAAGATCATGGACGACGGACGTAACTAGGACTTAATAATTACAGCAGCTGGATTTATAGAAATCCAAAGTTCAAATAAGCCATTAAGGGGGGAGCAAATCTTCCCACACCCACCATCAAAAGTATCACTAGAGTTTAGTAATCACAGGGTGTCCCATGAGTTGCAGACTTAATCTCAGTTGGGGGCTCGGCCACCTGCCCCCCCTCCCCCTCCTGGGAGGGAAATAGTCCACCTTGTGGAGAGGAGGATACCCCTCTGAGTCTGGAGGAGAAGAGTAGGGTAAGCGCAGACCTAAGCTATTGTTTGACAAGTATAATCGCTGCTACACTCGTCTCCAGTCACTAGTTAATATACTTTTCACGCTGTAACTGGTAAGGGTTTTCAAGTTTTCGACCGGACCTGTTGTCTACCCGAAAATAATTACAAAAATAGTTATTGTAGATATTAGATTTATATAGCATAAAGACAATTAAGGGCACTGTGCGAATACGTACAAACCACAGAATTCAAAACTAAGTTTGACCGCCTAATTCTCATAGATAATATAAGATCATAATATAAGAATATATAATATATTATCTATGCAAATTCTGACTTCACCATCGTTTGCTGTATTATAGAGTTAACTACATAAGTCTAAAAACAAAATTGCAAAAAAAGGATGTCTTCACGCCGATGTATAAGATGTTTGTATTGTTGTGAATTTATGTATCACGTAAATAAAAATATTATTATAGATCGGCTATGGAAGGTTGGCGCACGGTGGCGTGCCGGGTCGCGATTATAGAGATGTGTCGTTCGCGAACGAACGGATCTTATTGAACGGGTCAAAGACCGCGAACAATCTAGAACCTGTTTCTACAATAATACTTTTATTTACGTAATACATAAGTTCCCAACAGTATAATCACAGAATAGATTAAATTTAATCTATTCTGTGGTATAATATTCAATTATACAATTTATATAGATAGGTAATACTAATGAATATAGAGTAGCAATTTGTTAATCCTTATTACTTATATATATTAGGTGAAAACAAATATTGGGAATGGTTTTCTAATATTTATTAGTTCAAAACTTAAATGGACGAAAGAAATCATTGAAGAATGCTCATTTAATTTGGAGGGGCTCATTAGCCTGCTGCCGAGAATTCTATGTTCTCTGGAAGCAGATACAACAATAAATTATTGAACCATTTGGTGGGAATGTGGCATATAACATTATAATAGCTGTAAACAAAACCTTACAGAAATTAAAATTTTCGGAAAGTTTTAGCCACTTGGCTATTTAGTATCGATAGACTATTTATGTGTGGTTATGAGTTATGCCCGTGACAACCATGGTCCATAATGACGGATAAAAATGCTTCGGGGTAAAAAAGTTTCCAAATAAATCTGTACCGGTTTTTTTACAGAGAGAAGAAATATTTGCGATTTTATTATAACAGCATTTAGATTAATATTTAATAAATTAACGTGTCTCGAAGTCGTGTGTCTATATCAATTAAAAATGAATTAAGTACATAATATAAAATTAAAGCATGAAAGTTCAAATTCAAATGAATAGATTAAAAATAACACGCTTATCCATAATATTCCATATCAACCGATTGATAAAGTTTTAGATTTGATAACAAAAAAATCTTTTCTAATAATTATTAACCTACTACCGTCTACCACAGAATATATTTTACTAACTACCTACCTCTCTGTATATTATTATTTAGTTTTTTTTTATTTCTAGTGAATCACTATAGGTACAATACAACTTACACAACAAATTATTATATTGATATATTATACTTACATCTGCTCATCATTTCATAGGGTTCGTGTTTCATTTTGTTACATAACTTGCGTAATGTTCCTTTAGTCACAAATTGCAATTGTTTTCAGTTTCCATAAATCGTCTCCCTAAACTTTAGGTCCTAGAGTGAGTGACGTCGTATATCTGCGATTGAAAATTGACTATAATATTGGACATCATGTTTAGAAAATTTGCATCTGCGGTTTCAACAGTAAGCAAACATTTTTAATTTTATCATCTACCTATCTTTTAAGTACCATTTTTTTTTTCTTTAACATCCCAATAATTGTAGTTGCTGAGAGTAGGTGGGAAGTATGGCTGAAGTTAATTATTTTCTCTGACATCACATAATATGATGTTATGAATGATTAGATCGACAATTATTGGCATTTTTAACCGATTTGGTTGTATTTTACTCATGAGTTTCAGGATCGTTGTTTTGATATAAGCTGTAGATAGGTCACCTAAATTCTTATACAAACCATAAGTTTTGAATTGTTCAGGAAATTTAAAATTTTAAAATTGAGAAGTTGAGCGTGCTGCAAATTGCAATGTATGTTGCTTTTTTTGAGTTACCCGCTTCCAGCCTTAGTTGAACAGTCACAAGCGTGTTCAGAGATCACAGATCTAGCTGACAGTAATTTTATGGGAAGTTCTTTTATGAAATTAGTTTTCACACTAAGTATAAAAAAAATTGTAAAAATTAGTTTCAATTTTCTTAGTTAATTTAAATTTGAAGGTCTGACCATTGCCAAAAATGACTTGACACTTAAACACGTCTATGATAATAGCATTAGGTTAGCTTTGCTTTTTAGACCGACTGTAGCCAGAAAAAAATTATTTTTTAATGTTATTTGTAGTATATACCTATTAGAATACAGATAGATTAAATTGTTGATTTGTTCTAATTATTTATTTATTTCAGGTTCGCTTAGTACAGCAAAATTTCCAGAATATTCCAAAGTTTAGACAAATTTCAATTACTAATTCAGTTACACGAACATTTTGTAAGCATGAATCAAATATTTTATAGTAATCTAATTTCTGTCAGTCTCACAGATTATTTTTTATTTTACCTTTTGTTACTCATTAAAAATGATTGCTCAACAGTTACATAACTATAGTAATTTTTTCTTGTCATTTAGTACTAAATTTGGTTTATCAATTTTGTTAGAACTGTCAGAATAGTTGTAAAAAAAATAAAATAATGGCTTTTGTAGTTATGTTGAGATGTAATAGTAAATAAATCAGGTTAATAAAAGGTAACTATGAGAGATAGTCTGTTGATAACCTAAAAAGTGCCAAAAATAACATCAAATGCTTAATGCCCTAAAAAATAAAAAATAAATTCCTGAAATATTTTCTTAAGTCTCAAAGTAAATTAAATATGAATTGAAAAATTGATACATAAACATTTTTAGTTTAATTAATAGTTAAAAAAAATATATATAATTGTTCAAAATAAATTAGAAATATTTGAATGGGTTTTTATTCTTTTTCTGAATGAAAATCACTGAAAATAAATATAACAATAGTTTATTATTAAATTGTATTATTTATTACAAGCGTGAAGCGACTGCTCTGCTATAGAAATGCATTAAAGTAAATGCGGCTGAAGACTACTGTTCCACGAGCATTATATGTTGCGGCTGGTCGCAGCAATCGGCCATCCCGACTAGCCGCACCTTGGAAGTTGTACCTTAATCTGTATCGGCACATGATCAATTTAATCATTCCAATAATAATAATAAAAAAGTTTTTAAATATACAAATTTTTTTTTAAAATTCAAATTTAAGTTTATCTTATTAATTATTTTAATTAATTATATTTTTTGTTTCTTAGCTTCATCTCCGGTGTTTAATGTTAAGGTACAAGAAGCAGCACCCCAATTTGAGGGAAAAGCAATTATTGATGGACAAATAAAAGATATAAAACTATCAGATTTTGCGGGAAAATACTTGGTTTTATTTTTTTATCCTTTGGATTTGTAAGTTATATTTATTATAATAAATCAAAAATATAGTAATTATTTTTATGATTTTGTTCCAGTACATTTGTTTGTCCAACTGAACTAGTGTCATTTAGTGATCACATTGATGAATTTAAAAAAATTGGTGTAAATATAGTTGGATGTTCGTGTGATTCACATTTTTCACATTTAGCATTCGTTAACACTCCTCGAAAGGTTGTGTGCATTATATATAAAAAAACTCGTTTTATTCCTATTTATCTATTTATTTGTTATAGCATGGTGGTTTGGGTGGTCTCTGTTATCCACTATTGTCAGATTATAAAAAGGAAATTGCCAAAGCCTATGATGTTCTTATTGAACCTGACGGCATACCACTTCGTGGCCTTTTTATTATAGACCCTAAAGTAAATAATAAATATATTTATTCCTAATGAAATATGTTTAAATTGTACCATGTTATTTCAGGGAATAATAAGACAAATTACCATTAATGATCTGCCAGTAGGACGTAGTGTAGATGAAGTTCTAAGACTTGTTCAAGCTTTCCAATTTGTTGACAAACACGGAGAAGGTAAAAACTGTTTTAAATTATAATTTACATTATCATTATTTAAATATGATTTTGTGATTTAGTTTGTCCCATGAACTGGAAGCCAAATAGTCCAACTATTAAACCAGATCCAAATCTTTCAAAGGAATATTTTGGTAAAGTTAACAAGTGAATTATAGTTCAATACTGAAAGTATTCAAAAACAATGAAAAGTATTTAAAAATAAACATAAATATTAATTTAAAATAAAGAGTCATTGATTAAAATTTGTATATACTTTAACATCCTGGTGATGGGGGGGCTTGGGGGCATGAAAAATCACTCAACATATTTTAATGAATTAATAGTGAGCTAACAGTCCTTTAAATACGATTTATACTCTGTCCAGCCAGAGAATGTGCCAGTTCTGCGTGTATCCCCCGCGTCACCCTGATATCAAAACCGGTATCTGCATGGCAAGGTGTTGTGTGGGATGCCCAATAAAACCGATTTATGTTGACCTGCGACGCTTGCTCTCACTGGACAGAGTATATTCCTTATTAAATTTTAGTACAAACCTGCATTTGATTATTAAGAATGTATGCCACCTGAATTAAATACTTTGAATCTAACTGGTAAGTGGTAATTTTAATTTGTTAAATATATAGTAAGTTTGTAACTATGGCAAAATGTGTATTATATTTATATATGACCAATACCCAGTCAGATTTTATTTAAACAGATACATAACAGATACAAATATACATGTACTACAATAAGTATTGACTACAATTTAAGTATTAAATGTGTTGAGTCTTATCCGTGAATGCAGTAACTATGTGTACTGTTTACATCCTTTTTTTAACTGTAGGAACTAGGAATGGGTTGGGGTGTTTTTGTGTTGAAACATCTACCTTAGTCTGTATTTATGTAAACAATTTATTCACTAAATGCCTCAAAATATGTCATATTGTATTTTATATTATTATTAGATTGATGACGGAAATGGAGTGTGTTAGCAACCCTTCCCCCCTCTATTTATATTTAACATTGAAAAACCCATTCGAAAAAGTCCTGATGGTGAGTACCTTTAATCCTGGTTTAAACAATCCTGTGGTTTGGCTTTCTATCGAAGATATCTGTTCACGGCTACATACCAGTATTAAATTATCTTATATATTTAAATATAGATTATTTAGTTGGTAACAACTGCTTTTACTATATGTGCTAAATCAACAATACAATTTTATTAAATAGAATTCACAACAAAATATGTAGACTCAAATAATTAAGTTTTTTTCTTTTTAAAACTATGATAATATAACAAAACTTATGATCTTGAATAGTTGTTATAACAGTATATTAAAAACAAATTGAATTACATTAAAATTAAAATATATATAATAACAAAATATTTAAAGAAAACAATGAATAAATAGGCAAACATCAGAGTATAATAGAAATGGTAAGTCAAGTAATAATTGCGGTAAGATTAAAAATAACACTAATAGATACAATATAATATAGTAATTATTACTTTGATTAAAATAAATTCCAAGATAAGTAAACTTTGAAAATTATTTTAAAATTAATTATCCCACAGCCGCTGAGTGGAAATCATAGTATGATTCATAATAAGTGATAACAATAAAAAAAAAAGATTTACTTAAGATATAAGGTAAGTATAACATATTGAATGATATTCTTTTTTAAATAAGAAATGTATACAAACATGGACATCCATATAATTATGTGTAGTGTATACATTGTGCGTATTTAGCAGGGAGGGGTCAAAGAATGTCCATTCCCAATGTCAAACCAGTCTAATATATTATAAACATGGAAAAAATATATTTTATATTTATAAGTATACATAAAAAAAAAAATGGTAATCAGTTCATTTCATTTTTCAAATAAAAAACATGTCTTTTAGGTACCTACTCACATTTTTACTTAGATTTAATATGTATAGTATTTTCAAATTTTCAAATTCTTCAGTCCTTAAACATATCATGTAGTAATATAAAACTTAACATCCTTAATTAAACTACTCATACATGGGCAAATTGAGATATGTGTTAAGCTTTGTGACAGTCAAATATAAATCTAATTTTAATCTTTCAGTTTTAATAGATTTAAGTATTATATTATATTGACTTTAAATGGTGAATTACATTGAAATTTTAAGTAGGTACCTTTTCTTTTATGTATATTAGGTAACATTTTATTACCTGGACATAAATTAAGCTTATTTTGAATAAAAAAAATCCTAGTAAATTATACAAATTATGATTCTTTTAATATTGGTTAAAATTTGGAATAAGAAATAAGTTCAGTAAAATTTTTAAGCTAAAAATGTAAAAATATTAATTAATCAGAGGTTGTAATCATAAGAATTAAACAGTTTAAACAAAATATTAAAGGTCAAATGTCTTTAGACAGTCAGGCCATAATGTAAAAACATAATGGTAATAGAGACATTTGATACCTACTAGTAGATGAAAAATTATCAAAAATATGATTAGAATGAAATATTAAAGAAGAATATTACAGAAATAATAACAATAGTAAGCACCATTACATAGCACAATATTATACTATATTTTTTTTTAAGTAAGAGTCATAGAGATAGTTGATTTTTTATTACAAATAGGTACAACATAAGACATGCTATATAATAATGTAATATTGTAATTTAATGAAGTTAAATATTCTAATGATTAAATAATATAGAGTAATATTTTACATTAACATCACAAAGAACAACAATGCTTAAAACATTTTAACATAATTTTAATCACAACATTGGTTTTTTTGTATTTAATTTAGAGTAAATAAGATGAAACAGTCTTATAACAAAACCTACTTAATAAAATTGAATCTTAATTATTATTCATGTAAGCATTCCTTTGTATGGCTTAAAAATAAAAACAATACTAAAATAATTTAAAACAGAAGTTGGTTAGATCCAAGTTTTTTTGGCAATATACTGGTTGATTCTTTTAACAGTAAACACTCATTAATGATTAATTGTTATCTCAAAAAGTATAATCATTTAAACATTTCTACATAATTTGAATTTTTAACAAAAGAAAAGAGAATATTTTTTTATGTAAAAATATTCTACGTTGGAATATGAAATTAAAAATTTGTTTTTTTTTTTTTTAATGATTTATAAGGACTTAAAGTTATGTAAATATTTTTAAAAACATTAATGCTGTTTGAGATAATGAGTGTAGATCGGAAAAAAGAATTACCCTGTATATACAATATAGATAAATAATTATAGAAATATGAAGATGAATAAAACCAGCAAAGTAAAATGATATAACAAAATGTGATGACAGTTGTGTCACATAATAGTGTAAGATATATAATATGTATAATGTATATAGTACCTATATTATATTATATGATATTTATCATCGAAATCACAGAAAATACAAGAACTTCACTTCATCAATTCATATTTTAACCACTGTACATATTTTTTTCTTTTACCTAATTAACAATGAATCAGAAAAGTTGTTAAGCTATAATATTTTAAACATAATAGCAGCATCATTATTTCTACAAATAGTTAAAGGTATGGTTGTCTCAGTTCAAACCAGTATTAATAGTTTAATAAAACAAGCATACATACCAGTCATGTTTACTTATAACACACAGGATGGAGACACAAAATTAATTCATAAGACACAAATGTTCTGAGTTTTTACCTTTCTCTTAATTATAAGATATTTAAATAAACATACGATATGCATAAGAGAAAATTAAAAGAAAATAATTTGCAACCAATGTAGGTATAAAAAATCTTTAATTGTTGCTACCACAACAATATCACATTTGCAAATTTTAAGCAACAAATAATAAGTACAATTACTTGTCAATGAATAAAAATTTATGTGGATGTTGTTACTTGAATTACTTTTGACCTTTTAATCATTTTGTTTTTGAGATCATGGAGAATATGACATTTAATAATCAGATACTGCACCCATGTTTTCAAGCTTATACTACTATATAAAAAAAATATATCAAATAACAATAACACAAAACAACAATATAATTACAAAACCTTGTTTTATAACAGTCATACTGGTGATCTATCGTTCGTGCAAGTAAAGCACCAACACGTACGCTATCTTTTCGAAGAAGTCACTATCATATTAGTCTTAGATTCTTTTAAAACATGTACCTGATCCAACAAATGTTGTTTTTCTCCCAACAATTTACTAATGTTATCTTGTGCCTCACTTAGCAATATTCTGTGAATAAATTATGGCATTATTAACAAATATTTATATAAAAATCACAAAATAATGCTACAAACTTTAGATTTTTGTTTTCATCTTGAAACCGACGCAATTCTAAATTATCTTCTTTTAATCGTTCAAGAGTACCTAGTTTTCTATGAAGGTATTCATTTTCAATAGTAACTTTTTTAAATTCCTCCATTACTTCTATTAGCTGATTACTACTATCAGGACTATCACAATTTTCTTTAATTGGTTCCACACAAACTAAACCATCATTAGTGCGTTTGACTTTTAACCTACTAAGACGAATTTCTGTATCTGTTGGTTTTATGCTTGTTTCATCTTGTAAAGCGTCATTCTGGGTTGGGCTACATAGTTTTATCGTCGTGTTCTCAATGGTTGCCTAAAAAAATAAAGATAATTTAGACATTATTTTGAATAGTAATATTAATTAGCAAATTTCTCAGACCTCAAATGGTAGTGATTTTGATGGATGTTCGTCAACAAAAAAGTCTGCTAAACTGGTTAATGAGTTTGCATTCAACGACAAAGAAACATTGTTAATCTTTGCAGTAAGATTATCATTTTTCCATTCATCCAAATTAATCAGTTTTTCATCATGTTGGGGCATAATATTGTGTTCTAATCGAACCATTACCCTAGGTATCTGTGGTAAACCTGCGACACCTTCGACTTCATTCCAATCCCGTGTTCTGGTTGTAAATTTATCCTAGTCAATAAATGTATACATTTTCATACAATATAATATATTATATATAATTTTCAGTTTTAATAAATAATCTAATTTTAGGCGCAACCAGGGCAGAGTGTAATAGGAACACTTCAAATATGTGTTACGGGAATTCTTTTGTTGTATTTAATCAATAATCCTAATCCATGTATTAGTTATATTATTATAGTATTAATTATAAAT